ATGTGTCTATCACCATCCTTATTGTGGTTTTATGAGTGTCTATGTGTCCATACTCATCAAATTGAATACATAAAGTATGTGCAGTTATTGTATAGTATGCCTCAATGAAAATGTTAAAAATTAATGCAAGTTCACTAAAATAGACTTGAACAAATGGAAATATGTTTTTTGTTAAGAAATTCATAAAGATAAGTCTCAGTATTAATGTTAACTCAATGTAAATACCAAATACGAACACATATTTGTTGGTATTTTTGAGCTAGACAAGTTGATTGTAATATCTCTTAACAGCTTATTGTAATTCACAGTTCTAGCCACATTTTAATGAGATTATCTTATCATCCACTATACCATGGTTCTATTTTTTTTTTTTTCAGTAAATTAAAAAGAGACTAGAAGGGACTAGTCTAGATTAAAAAGAGACTAGATGTATTTTCAGCAAATGAGTACATTTTTGGACAACCATTGTGTGAAATTCAACAGTTTGTTTTCTTGGCTTACTGAAGGATCAGATACTGTCCTATAAAAGAATCTAGCATTTTTCACTCATTGCTATTATAATATACTCTCTGAACTGTTATTTCATTAGTGATGAGAAATTTAATCTTGTTATCTGTACCCTATTGTACTGTGATGTGATATCATGGTGTAAATTTATTGAACACTTATTACTTGCTTCATATTTGTTGAATGCATATCTTATAGGCACTGTAATAGCCATGGGGACCCCAAGTTGAATAAACTAATGACTGTCTCAGGGGAGACAAACCTATATATAAATGTTTACCATAAGATTAATAAGCTCAAACTGTACTGTCAGAAATGTACTTCTAGTGGGGAGAAGCAGTAAATGAGACGTCAGTGAGGACATGCTAGCAATAAAATACTAAGATAACTGGACATATCTAGAATAAACCTCAATTTAAAAAAAAAAAATTAAAGAAGGATGTCAAAAGGGCCAGGTTGAGATAGCAAGAGGCTTAAGGTTTCAAGGGGTTGATAAGATTAAAGAGCAGGTCCTCAGGAATAAGAACAGAAAAATATAGAGATTGCAGCTGAAAATCGGGGTGTTTTCAGTAAATAGAGGTTGAGCAGTGTCCCTTTGTGACAAACTATCTCTATCTGGGGGTGTTGACTGGTATTAAATGAAAGTCTGTAGCTATGAACATGTAAGCCCAACCAATTTTTATAGATAGTAAGCCCTTAGTCTTGGCCTGTTTTAACCAACTATGCTAAACAGCTACAGAGAGTTTAAAGGTGATTGAGTCAGAAACATGCAGGATAAATTTCCTTTGAAGTACATCTGGAAAGGGATAAACAAACATACATGGATTATACAATGAATTTGAAATTCATTAAACCATGTTCAAATCCAAGCACAACCAGGTTGACTCATGCCTAAAAATTATCAGCATTCCTTCTTGGTGGTGGTGGTAGGAATTATACTTTCTTTTAGTTTTTAATCTTACTTTCCCAAGACTTAAAATTTTTGTAAATCAGCTCTGGTCTCTCCAATGTAATAAATAAATTTTCATGTTTTCTTTTCCTTTTAAGATAGAAAGGATGATTTTCATCTTCTAACTTAATTGTTGAGTTACAGTTGTATTGAAATCCTGTTGAATTTGATTGTATTAAAATGATCAGCTCATACATCTGTTTTCCACCTATATTGTAGGCTTCTTGATTGTGGAGATCAAGGCTTCCTCTGGACTAATATGTGGTGCCCAGCAGCAAATAGCCACTGCATTGTGTTTGGGTATAAATGAAAGTATCTCCAGATGTCATCTTGCTTTATTGGAATTATTGCTCATATTATTATGAAAGTTATCTTTTGGTTACATTTATGTTTTTTATGATCAGCAAGGATTCGTATACTTATTCAGCTTTTCAGAGCGTAAGAGACAGGGATGACAAAGTAAATGCTACCTTTCCAGTCTCTGGGCATAACTGTAGTGACAGTAAATTTCAAAAAGAAGAGAATATTTTGTGACTTGCATTTTCCTTTACGCTTTCCACATTAGGGATAGGTTTCTCTGTTAAAATATGGCATAGGAAGTGTGTAGCATAAAGTCTTGATATCACCTCACAACTTGTTTTAAAAATTATGTAACCCCTTTGCTCTTAATCCTAATTGTGTTCCAGAGTCCATTTTAATGGACTGTAACATACTACCTGTTACTGGACATAAGATTTTTTTACATTGCCATTGCATTATAATCACAGCTACTTTACAGTAATTTTTAAAAGATTTCATGATCTAATATATTGGCAGTATTAAAGACTATAGCTTTGAAAACATATAAGTGTATAAACTTCCACACGTACTCCTTTATACGTATATTTTAAAATAAATTTTAAAAATTAAATCCTACAAGTATAAAAGGGCAGAAAAGCAAATCTGATTCACTCTGATTTAAACTGAGAAGTATTGAGTCCATTAATTGTAAATCATGTGTAGTCTCAAACAATAGCTTAGAAAAGGTGTATTTCAATTTTGTTCAAATTTAAAAGAATTATTTCAGTGTATAAACTAATCAACTTGATAATAACATGAATGTGCTTTTTGACATGCAAGTGTTTTCCAGTTCTATCATAGAATCTATTAGCAAAAGCACATAAAGAAAAGAGAAAATGCAGTTTTCTTTGTCAGCTGTTTCAGAAACGGCTAGTGGAAATATGGCTTTAAACACTTGACTTTAAATTCACGAGAAAGACGATTGTACTCAAGTAGCGTGCAGCTGAGGTCCTCTAGTGTCATGGTTGGATATGGCAACAGTTTTTAAGATTTTGTGAAGTATGTGTGTTTGTGTGAGAGTGATGAAGTGGGGTAGGGAGAGAACATTGACAAGAGATCATTACTTTAAAGTTCATTCATAGCTCAGAAAATGAGCTAAGAAAACTAGGTTTTTATGTCTTATTTATCAAACGATCTCAAGGAAAGGTTTTTTTTCCTAAGGATTTACATCTTTCATATGTACGTATTAGTATAATAGTGGATGTTTTCAAGTTTGGTTTATTTTTTTAAGATATTTTTGAAAACTGTTAATTCCAAATTGTTCTTGTTTCACACATTCCCTACTTCCTAAGACTGGCTGTTGTGCCATTTTAATATGGGAGCAGCTGTTTGATAAAGGGAAGTAGTTTGCAGGTCACTTTAAATAAACATTCTGTATATAGAGAGAGTAACCTTTATTGTTTGCTGTTTGCAGACTTCATGGAGAATGTCAGCTTACTGCTTTATTTTAGTATATACCTGACAGCAACAGATTAGCAGACACTTGAAAAAATAGTTTGAAACAGAAACAAGGGAGAAAACAAACTGTTAGCTAGAACAAATGAAGATACACACATTTTTGTTTCCTGAATTAAAAAAATTCTAATAACTGCCCTAAGAGAAGCTCAAAAGAATACTGTATCCATTTCCAAAGAACAGGATGGACTGAAAAGGAGCAACTAGAGAGAGAACCAAGGAGCAGTCCCAGGAATGAAGTAATAGAATCGAGACAGGACTAAGGAAACAAAACTGACAAGTGACATAAAGAACAGATTTCCTTTTCATGTGCCCACTAAGAATTCCTACTTAAAGAAGAACGTAGCCTTACACATGGTCAGCCAAGTTTGCCTTAGTCGTATTTCTGTGTTAACGTGAGTCTTCATCTTCCTGGGACACACTTGGTACTACTAAGAGATGCAGAAATACCCACATGTTGGGTTCCAATTTTATAACTCTAAGGAGAAAGTAAAAAAAAAAAAAAATTGCAGAAAGTTTCCAGAGAGACTAATCATATATCTGTAGCAAAATAAAGAACACTGAAGGCAGCAGAGAGAGCCTTCTTAGTTGAAAGGCAAGAATGAGATACTCAAAAGACAAGCCATGCTTTAAAATGTCATACTCATGCTGCTCTTAGGAGACATGTTTATGTGGATATTTACAGCTAAATGTAAAAACAAAAAAAAAAGCAAAATAAAATTATACATGAAGTATATTAAGTGATGGGCGGCTGATGATGATGACCTTTATGAATAGTTATAATTATAAAAATTGTAGCACTCATTAAATCCTGATGACAGACATTTTCTCTTGAAGGCCCCGGGCTAAGTGGCTCAGGCTTACATTTCCTTCTCTGCATGGTACAGCCTCGGCCACCACCTTCGGTCTCTGCCAGAGGGAAAGCCCAAGCTCTTGCAGTGGCTGCAAGGCTGGCAGGCTCTGCTTCCTTGCTGCCTCTCAGTTCCCCTCTCCACACTTCACCTTTTGCTCACTCTGCTGCTGGCACAGGGCTGACCTGCTGAGCCCTCTCCCAGCTCAGGGCCTGCTGACTGTGCCTCTGCGAGAATCACCCCTTCCCCCAGAGAGCTGCACCTCCTTTAGATTTCTGCACAAATGTCACCTCACCTCGATCACGTTGATATACAGCAGCAACTTCCTATCCACATTCTCTCTCCTTTTCCTGCTTTTTATCCTCAGCACTTAATCACTATATATCTTATTGTATTGGGTATTTACTTGTTAATTTGCTGGGGAGAGGGGAAGGAAAGAAGGAAGGAGAGGGGGGAAGATAAGAATGGTAGGGAAGGAAAAAGGTGTAGATTGAAATGGAAAGTAAGCTCAGGTCTAGCTACCAAAAAATACACTATAGCTGTTTTTCAGGGACTTGGGTATTGAGCAGGACAGGTGGTTTTCATGGCTTCGTTCTACCAACACCAAACACACCACCAAAATTAATCTTCCTGAAATGACAAATGCTCCAAATGCTTTTGGGAAACCATAGACTCTTTTTTAGATCAGCTCTGTCACAGTGGGAAAATCCAAAATATGTACCAGTGGTTATTTTAGAAAAATGTATAAATTCTACTTTCTCTGAATAGAGAAGTAACAATAAGAATGTAAGTTTTTCACTGAATTTTATGACTAAACTTCATTTCATTCCTTAATACAGGTCATATACCTTCTTTGTACTTGCTCTATAGTCATCTGTGACCTTTTGTTTTCTCCGTAGCTGTTCAAAGGTATTGTGTATTGCCTTTGAGGTACTTCAGGGCTTGCAGTACATGAATAAACACGGCATAGTACACCGGGCACTGTCTCCTCACAATATCCTTTTGGACAGAAAGGTAATTGTCACTTAATGTTTTAAACATTTGCATGTTACTTTAGATGGATGCTCTGAATTCAAGCCCACTCAACTAATCAGAGGGACTATAGGGCAAGAGTGTATATTAAGAAAATCCATAGTGGGGCCTCCCCAGGTGGCGCAGCGGTTGAGCGCTAGGCTGCGAAGCTGCCTGCAACCTCTGCAGTGCCAGTTCTATCCCCGGCCGCCGGCGAGGGTCCCACATGGCGCGACAGACCTCTCCTGCTGAGCCCACTGCTCCCCTCAGCAGTGTACTTCGTCGGTCTGCCTGTTCTGTTTCCCACTCTGGCTCTGGTGAATTCTCTCACCCTCCCATGCTTCTGACTGTACATAGTGCTTGTATAAATAAATAAATCTTTAAAAAAAAAAAAAAGAAAATCCATAGTGACAAGACTGTGAAAGTGGTATACATTCAGTTGTTAGGAAAAAAAAAAATCTTTTAAATATTTAAATTCATGTTTTTCATGTGCATTTTCTTTTTACCCCCAAGACTGATTTTCTAACTTCTTGTCTTATTTGTTTCTTTCACTCATTTTGCAAAATACTCATTGTAACTTCCCAAACTACCCCCACCCCAAATTAGTTTAAATCTTAAAAAAACTTCTATAATTATTTACATAAATTAGTCCCATAGCACAGCTGCATTGTATTTTCTTTCCTTTATTCTTCTTCCCTGTTCCCTCATCTTTATCTTATTCTCCATTTATATTCCTCTCCTTTATTTACCATGTATTCATATTAGCTTCTTGTTTTATTAAATGTTGCTGCTTGCTTGAAAATCGTATGTGGGATTAATAAGAAGCTTGTCAACCCTTGAAGAGAATCTTGGGTAGCAAGGTGTTGTATTTTAAGGTATAATTGTAATTTCATTCTGAGAGATGTGTGTAGTTTCCATTTGCCTTTTACTAAGAACTGTATTTCTCTGGTAATTATGGTCACTCTGGAAACAGTATCAAAATATTGTTAGCACTCTAGCAGATTCATTAATTTCTAGATTTGTGAAATGTCATCAGGATTAAATTACAACACTGTAGATGAATTTAAACCTGCCTGAGAAAAATTCTTTGGTGAAAATGACCACAAAATTACTTCTATGTAAGTATCCAAGACAAAGAGAACATTTTTGCTTTTTTTTTTTTTTGCTATGTCAGAAAGTCTGTAAAATATAAATAAATAATAAAAAGTTTAAAGTGATAGTTATCATTCTGACATATAAATATTAATTATGTGAGTATTCCTATATACATCCGTATATGTATATATAGATATACACACACATGTACATGTAATGAGCATAAAGCAGAATTCTAACATTGGCAAATATTGTTTAATAAAATATGTTAAATTAAAATATAATTTTTCATAATATGTCTAACCATATCATGTTTTCCTTATTTATAAAATGCATAACATTTTCTGCCAGTAACGTTAAATATTTCATGGTGATTTTTTTTCCTTTTCTTATTATAGGGACACGTTAAATTGGCTAAATTTGGACTTTATCACATGACAGCTCATGGTGATGATGTTGATTTTCCAATTGGGTGAGAATATTTTTGTTCCTGTGTTCTGTATTAAACTTTGTAATCTTTGATAAGATATATATGTATTTTGTTTATAAGTTCACATTCAGTTTTACACATACAAAACTGTGGTTATGCACAACAAACGGTTGTTTTCACAAGCACAAAACAATAAATTACAAAAATAGCCTACGCTTATTTGTTTTAAAAAATCCTTTTGAATATAAACATAAATTCCTAGTAAAGCTCTTTTCACCTCCCAAACTTTTCACCTCCCAAAATATCATCTTTAGGTTTGATGTGCTGGAAATTAGGACTAAAATTGAACAGTTTGCCTTCTACATGTATAAGAATATAATTCAAATGTGTAGATCAGAGAACTCATTGTGCAAATTAAAAGAAGATGTCAATATATTTGTCATATGTGATAATTGACTCTTGAAGTAACTTTTAATCAGCTATAGTCAATGTGATTGCTGCTGCTGCTCCATTTTGTCTAAATTGACTTATGGAAAAGAGAATTCCAAAACATAACACAAACAAAAATTAATTTTTTACCTTTTCCTTAAAGGTGCTTTAGGTTTCAGTGATGAAACCAAAGAAAAGAAGTGATTTTTCTTAAAGCATTTCAAGCTTTTTGAAGAACTACGTTTGAATTTAAAATGCCTGGTTGGATTGGCCTTGTGTTACCATTTGGTCTGGCTTACTTTGAAGTCTTAGACCCATAGGGCCTTAACAGCCACTTTCAAAGAGCAAAATGTAAAACATCAGCCAGGAAAAATAAAGCTATCAAACAGCTAAGGCATGAAAGAAAATATTTACACCAGGAGAAGCTTGCAGTTGATTCAAAAGACAAATATCAAGTAACAACAAAGTAAAATGTTAACATCTGTTTCAAAATATCATAAAGAGTTAGAAATTGGACATTCACTTTAGTTGGCCAGTAGCTTAATACCTTGTAAAAACATCAAACAGATGATGAAAGCCACTTATTTTTACCTCACTAGTCATAAGGCAAAGTTTGGGTAATGTTCTCTGAGTGTTAAAATGCTATGGTGAAGAAGAGACACTTGTTGAAAGGAGATAATTTATGTGGGGAAAAAAAATAATCCTAGATCTTGTTGTTGTTTTGTATTACTAATTTAATCAATCCTTGGTTAGGAGGGAGGTTGGCCTTTCTGGAGCAAGAGTCCCCTCCATACTTCTAAAGATCACCAGTCAGCTATGTTGTGGCAATTCACCTATAGAATTGCTTAACTTTTCACCTCCCAAAATATCATCTTTGGGTTTGATATGCTAGAAATCAAGATTAAAATTGAACAGTTTGCCTTCTACATGTATAAGAACATAATTCAAATGTGTAGATCAGAGAACTCATTGAGCAAATTAAAAGAAGATGTCAATATCACCATCCTCATTGTATTAAAATGAATAGGTATTACATTGCGCAGCAGACCATTCCTAACTCACCCGCTGCTTCCCTCAGCAGTGTATTTCAGTAGATCTGCCTGTTCTGTTCCCCACTCTGTCTCTGGCAAATCCTCTCACGACCCAAAACTCTGGCCTGTACCCCAGTTCTTGTATGTATGAATAAATAAATCTTTTTTTAAAGAAAAAAAAAGACCTTAAGTGAGCCATTTGAATTGTAGTCATATTCCCTAGCTTAACTGATTTGTATTTTACTTGTCAGTAATAAGTGCTGGTGATCATAGTGTGAGGAAGTGGCCATAGATGATAACACAGGAAGAGAAATGAGTTATTTGTATGCCTGTATCACATGTCACATAGATGCCACACCCGCTTCACTGCATTTCCATTAGTAGCTCTCACAGGGTGGCGGTGGTAATCTAATGTCACTTCATGAAGTGAAGAATCCCTGCCTGTGTGCTTATGAGGTACCTACTGGTGAGGAAAGTGATGCCCAGCAGTGAGGAGGGCGCCCCTCAGTTTTCATTTCTCTAAGCAGTGGAATTCAAATTTAGTAATTGGCACCATGCCTGTTACTTACATACTGTCTGCATTTATTTTCTTTAATTTTTATTTATTTTTTAAACTAATTTTATTTACTGTCTGCTTTTAATTTGTTGTCTATAAGGAGTACTAACTGGCATTATCAGCAGGAAAGTACCATTGGTAGTTGCTGATCATTTACAAAAATGAGTAAGATATCCAGATGCCCATGGGGACTTCCAAAAAATATTTAAGGGAGAAAGTAAATTGTTGTATATTAAGTATTATAAGCATAAACACACAAGCCGTAACAATGTATAGTATTACATATAGTGCATATTCTAGTTGATAAAATACAGAACAATAAAATAAGTCTCTTCTAGTTACTAGAGAACCATAAGAAAGATCACCTAGGGCCTCCCCTGGTGGCGCAGCGGTTGAGCGCTGGGCTGCGAAGCTGCCCACAGCCTCTGCAGCGCCAGTTCGATCCCCGGCCACCGGTGAGGGTCCCGCATGGTGCAACAGATCTCTCCTGCCATGCCCGCTGCTCCCCTCAGCAATGTATTTCGTCAGTCTGCCTGTTCTGTTCCCCACTCTGGCGCTGGTGAATTCTCTCAACCTTCCGCGCTTCTGACTGTACCCAGTACTTGTATAAATAAATAAATAAATCTTTAAAAAAAAAGAAAAGAAAGAAAGATCACCTACAACACCACGGATGGTCACTGAGAGGAGAAAATATTTACTTCCCAACAGATCAACTTAAGGTTTCATAGAATTATTCATAAAATGAATTTATCACAAAATTAAAATTAGGAGTTTGACTCAGCACATAGAATATACTAGTCATTTTTTCTTTTTGATTTTTCATTACTAAAGTACTTTATGAGTTTAGAAGACAAGATAGTAAATGTACTTCAGTGGGGTAGATTTTTTGGTGTGTAATATGATTTTCTTACCAATTGGCATGAAAGACAGCTATGTTTTAAAAAAAAGAAGACAGGAAAGCAAAGAAATGACCTTGTGCTACAGAGAGACATGATGATTTTAAAACTGTTTGACAAATATCTATTTGCTCTTGATTCCCAGACATAAGGGCCTATATTAAGATGGTTAGTTTAGAATCCTCCCTAGCAAGAGGTATTTACCTACATCTTGTCATTCTCAAGGTAAAAATGGACTGCTGCTTCATCTCCTCTTTAGGTTTCATAGTAATTATTCATTTTAAAAAATATCTCATTGTAGATATCCTTCATACTTGGCACCTGAGGTAATTGCACAAGGGATTTGCAAAGCCACTGATCATGTGCCAAGTGAAAAACCATTGCCTTCTGGACCCAAATCAGACGTATGGTCTCTTGGAATCATTTTATTTGAGCTTTGTGTGGTATGTATAAAGAAATATTAAGCTAATAAAAAGAAATTGTGTGTTTTGGGGATAATTTTTTTTAATCGAAAGCTAGTGATAATATGTCTGTTTTGAAAATCTATCAACTAGATCTGAGAAAAGGGGCTTAATTTTCAATTGAGCTTTTAAATTATCTCATTTGATAATTAATTTGCAAATTATTTTAGCATTTTCAGAAATGTTTATGCTTTTATTAAGTGTAAAAACATTTACGCTATACTAAAGTATAAAACTTTAAACATTTTTGGAAATGTTTATACTACAGTTGCTGACATACTTTGACATGCCATGCTCTCCCTCGCTTCTGTGGTGTTCTTTCCTCCTTAAGTGTCTTCTTCCATCTTGTTCTGTTAGGTTTCCTATGGGACTCACTTAGTAGGTTGGCTTTTTATGAGGCCTTGCCAAGATGCCCTCTATATGTCTATTAGGGTGAAGACTAAGTTGCTATTACAAAGGTGTTAAAGATGCAGTAGCTTAAAGAAAGAGGGGCAGTGTTCATCTGTCCTGGAGTGCCATGCAGGAGTCTAGGTTCCATTCTCAACATCTGATTTCCACAATTGTTTCTTTCTCACCTCTGTCAGTCATTAGGAAGGGCAAGGAGTAATTCGTGGTAACTGTCTTTAGGAAGATGAACTAAATGTTTCAGCTATCATATCTGTGTATTTCTCCATGTGACAGAATACTGATGTAGCCACCGATTGCTACAAGTGTGACTGGGAAATGCAGCCTTTAATTCAGCAACTAAATATTGAGGAAGAATGTGAAAATAGAGATAGGGACAAAAGTCTATCAGGTCCAAGATGAGAATGATTTTGGAGGGACAACTAACAGTCTCTCAATCCTACCTCCAAATACCTGCCAGAATTAGGTCCCCATCTTTGCTCTTCTATATAGGATTTGTCACATTTGTCTAATCTACTTGGACTATGAGATCTTTGGAGGCATGAATTTTTATTATTCATCTGTTATTTTTCTATTTTCCAAAGGATTTTCAAAAATTTTTTAAAACAATGACTCATTGATATATACCATATCAAAGAATTAAGAATTTCTTCATATTCCATATTTTAGAATGAACTCAGCAGCAGAGGCAGCAAAGCATAATAGTACAGAGGCAAGCTTCTGTAGTCAGAGAGAACTGGGTTTGAATTCTGCTGCTGCAGAGTATAGCTGTGTGACTTAGTGTCGTTAAACTGACTTCAAAATTTGTGTTCCACTTCTATAAAGAATAACAGTATCTAAATTGTAAAGTCAGCAGAAAATTAAATGAAATAATATATTTGAAGTGCTTCATAGAGTTCTTCCTAGCAAGGGTTCAAACCTGTATTTTCAGAAAATTGATGGTAGTGGTATACAAGATTGAGAAGAGGACAGGCAACTTACTTTCAGTGACTTACCCCTGTAGTGCAAATTTCCTAAGTCCTTAGCAAAGTTTTTCCTCTGCATAAAGAAAGGAACTTCATCTTAAATCTTCTAAGTCTCTTTATAGAACCATACAAGTTCAATTGTTTATTAATAAACATAGTATGTATAAAACACTTCTGTGTGAAAAAAACACTAAGCATTTTTTATACATTATATAACTCTCACTGCAATCTGTGTAATGTGTACAGTTAATATTTCAAATATAAAGACAAGCAAAGTGAGCCTCGAAGGTAGTTAAGTAATTTGCCCAAGTTATACAGCTGGTAGTAGAAGGTCCAGCTTGGCAAACAATAGTCACTCAACACTCTCTGAAGGTATAAGTCTTTAATTCCATTCCTTGAAGCCTCCTGAAGCCAAACTGATAATGAAACAATCAATATGATGTATGTCTTAAATAATCTGCCAGGTACTGTGGGAGTGCAAAGCATGGGGGAGGAAGCAGGATGTCACGGAATGTCCTGGGTAGACAAGCAGACAGACTGGATGGTGACGTGTAAGTCAGAATTATCTGGTAGATGGAAGGGTAGTAGGGGTCTTTCCCAGAAGGCATCTTATCTTCTAGTCAAATAGGACTTCTGTGGCCTGAGATGCTTCTAGGCGTTGAGATGTCTGTGGGTCTTGAAAGTTACAAGGTAGAATATAATGACCTGTAGGTACATAAGATGTTTACATGTCACTGAAGTTTTTTTCTTAGTATAGCTAACTTTAAAAATCTGATAAAACCTCTGAAGAGAAATGGAGGTATCCAGGAAAATCATTTTCTTCTCTGAGAAAAACGAGTTGTAAATATTAACAAGAATTTCTTTTTCCATTTAGGGAAGAAAACTATTTCAGAGCTTGGATATCTCTGAAAGACTAAAATTTTTGCTTACATTAGGTACGTATCCTGTAATTTATAATCTTTTCAACTCTCAGAATAATCTTTTTTTTAAAAGATTCATTTATGTATATAAGAGCTGGGGTACAGGCCAGAGATGTGGGGGGTGAGAGGATTCACCAGAGACACAGTGGGGAGCAGAACAGGCAGATTGACTGAAGTACACTGCTGAGGGGAGGAACGGGCGAGACAGGAGAGGTCTGCTGCGCCATGTGGGTTGCTCCCTGGCTGGCCTGGCATTGAACTCATGCTGCAGAGGCTGCGATTGCTTCATAGTGCAGTGCTTAACCCCTTACGCCACCAGGGAGGCCCTAAGAATAATCTTTAATGACTGTTAATGCTTATATATATTGAGGATATATCCTTCTAAAACAGTGTATACTAAAAAAAAAAAAAAAAAACCTGAAATAACCTCTTTATTTTCCTAGTGATCAGTGATAAGCATTATCAGGATAACTTAAATTAAGCTTAAGCTTAATTTTTTACATTCAAAAATTATAGTAGTGCTTTCCTGATTTCCTAAGGAAATATAACATGGGTGGATACACTCTCTGCTTGATGATATAGTAAGTAAACTGTGAAATCAAAGTATAAGAATATGAGGTTGCATGAATATATCAGTTTACCTTCAGACAAAGGTATCTAAGGGAAAGATCAGGCTTTCTATTTCATAAATCTTATATAAATAAGGGCTGAAGAAGAATGTTTATTTTTCTTGAAAACAAGCTCTTATATTTTACATATATGCCCAAACATTTTTAATTTCAATTTATAAAAATGTGTGTAGTCCATATTTGAGTGGAATAAATTAAGCAAGTGTAGTAAAAAAAAGAAGCGAAAAACAGTGCTATTGAGCACATTATGGGAAAGAGTGACAGTTAAGGTTCAAGTTGATACAGTCTATAAATAAGACTATGTGCTGAATAGTACCAATAAATATTAAATAATGATTATAAATAAGTTGTATAAAATTCTACCTTATTTGCCCCATTTGATATCAAAGTTTGATAATACAGCTGTAAGGAGTCTTAAAGATATCTAAATGTGTGCATACTAAATGTATGCTTTAAATACTCAGAGAAATGTGTATACATGCTGCAAAATGTAAATAATGAATTATTCTTATAACCAAGAAAAGATAATAAAGCATTTTTAAAGAGTAATAAGAATATATGTAAGAAGGTCTCCCCTGTGGCATAGCAGGTTGAGCGCAAAGCTGTGAAGCTGTCCACAGCCTCTGCAGGGCAGGTTCAATTCCCTGCTGGCCAGGGAGATACCCACATGGCACGGCAGACCTCTCCTGCCTCGCCTGCTGCTACCCTCAGCAGTGTCTTTGGTTCGTCTGCCTGTTCTGCTCCCTACTCTGTCTCTGGTGAATCCTCTCATGTTCCCAAGCCTCTGGCCTGTATCCCAGCTCTTGTATAAATAAAAAAAAAAAAAAAATCTTTAAAAAAAAAAAAAGAATATGTAAGAGAGAATCTTTACCTCCTGAATCATTGCTTTATTTCATTATATAAGGTGCAATCAATATCTGTGACTCTATGTTAATGTTTGAAAACTTTTTTTAATTAAAATACATAAGGACAGTTAATAAAGCTTAATATTCTAAATTCCAATGCCGCATTACACATTTTTAAAAATTTTGGAGTTCAGTTCACAGCATGGCAGTTTAGAAAAGCAATGGTAATGTTATAATTTTTCTGTCTTACAGATTGCGTGGATGATACTATTATAGTTCTGGCTGAAGAGCATGGTTGTCTGGACATTATAAAGGTTTGTCATTATCTCTTATTGACTATTTATGTAATTTGCATATCTGTGATCTAATAGCAAGCTATTCTAAAACTGTGTTTCTCTTTAGATACTTATTTTTTCAGTGACAGACTAATATAAATTTGTACAAAGCCCAAATAAAGACTTTTTTAAAAAATCAAAATGGTCTTGAGTAGCAAACATTTGCTTAAAGTATATTTTTGAAATGGCTCCTTTAAAAATGTTTTTTTCTCCCTTTACTTACCAGGAGCTTCCTGAAAATGTGATAGATCTTTTGAAGAAGTGCCTCACCTTCCACCCTTCTAAAAGGTTGATATTGTTAAGAGTGTGGGGTTACACTGTGTTCATTAACATATCAGAGTTGGTCTTATATTCTTCCTAGTTTATAATACTGACATATATCAAATAGCATAATTGACATCATTGTCATAATATATGGTATTAATGTCTTTTCATAAAAGAAGAAAAAAACCATGGTCAGAAAGCTGGCATATACCAAAAGTTTCTGCATCATTTTCTAGCCTCTAATTAGGAAATCAACTATATTATGGAGTATATATATTCCTAGACACAAATGATAAAAGAGGAGTGAGAACAATAGTTTATTGGTGGTATGTATTATAACAAAAACTTGAATAATTGATGAGGTAAACTAACAATTGTTGATAATGTAAAAGGGCTTCTTAGAAGCTTTATTTCTCTTCATCTGATTGTGTCACTATTAGCCACACAGTTTTCCCTAAACTCTTAAATGTATAATATTTGATAATTGTATTATGATTTGTTTTTAGAAAATGTCTCTATATAGAGATGTTTGGAAGAGACATGTGGTATTAAAAGCATAGTTTTGGGTGGATATGCTATATTAAAGTAAGAATAGGAAGAAAATAGGAGATATTTTTTACAATTCTTTAATTTAATTAAGATATCGAGTAAAGCACATTTACGTTAGTCAAACTAAAAGTAAAAAATGGAGACACTCATTTATAATAATTTTTTATAGATCATAAGGTACAAAAAGTACAACAAAGGTAAAAAATTCAGCATTTACTCAATTACTTGATTGTTACATAAAGATAAATATCTGAAATGATTTTCATTCATGCTCTGTATTTTACATATGTTTCTCAAGGCCAACACCAGGTGAACTAATGCAGGACAAGGTTTTCAGTGAGGTATCATCTTTATACACTCCCTTTACCAGACCTGCTAGTCTGTTTTCATCCTGTCTGAGATGTGCTGATTTAACTCTGCCTGAGGATATTAGTCAGCTGTGTAAAGGTAATGATAAATAAAATCATACACAGTGATATAAACCTGTTTTTAAAGGAAGTACCCTTGCTTTAGTTTCAGTTTTTACTTTATTAAACAAGTCTTTGTAGCTACTTTATCATGCAATTAAGAGATAATTCTGGAAGTACTTAAATATAAGTAACTTAACATTTTTAATCCTTTAAATTTAAATTGCTTTGGAGCAATAGCCTTAAGAATTAAGGAGAATAAATAAATGGCAGGAAAAAAAGAAAAGATACTTTGTCAAACAAAGTCCCATTTTCATTTCATTTCTTTTTTTTTTTTTATTTCTTTTTTTTTAAAGATTTATTTATTTATGCACGCAAGAGCTGGAGCCCAGGCCAGAGATGTGGGGGATGAAAAGACTCACCAGAGACAGAGCAGGGAGCAGAACAGGCAGACTGACTGAGATACACTGCTGAGGGCAGTAGTAGGTGAGATAGGAGAGGTCTGCTGCGCCATGTGGGTTGCTCCCTGGCTAGTCCGGGATTGAACTCATGCTGCAGAGGCTGCAGATTGCTTCATAGTGCGGTGCTTAACCACCAGGGAGGCCCTTCATTTCATTTCTTAATGCTAAAATCAGGTCTTCTAATTCCCAATAGATTTTTCACTGTTATCAACATTTATATACCGTATTACTTAAAATTTACTATAAAGTGGTTTCTAGAAATCATTTCACTCATAGTTACTAGACATTCTTTCGATCAAAAATTTATTGAGTTCCTATATATTCCACACACTATGTGTTCCAGAAACATCATACCAAATAGCCAGACAGAGAAACATTTGCTCACACATTTACTCCTGTTAGTGCAGGTCAGTATGAACATAGCACAGGTGAAGCATGGCTTGTCTTAGGTATCATGAAAGACTTCTTGGAAGAGGCAACCATTGTGTCAAGGCATAAGGGATGGGATAATATGTGTGGGTGGCCTATCCTAGAGCTTTTATCTGCCCTGTTATGTTCCTATAGAGTCTGATATATATGACATAGGTATCTCTGTATGTTTGATAGAGAGGGCAAAAATCACTTTTCTCAAAGAAACTGAATGCTTATCCAATATGTATGTCTGAATTTCACCCTCTGTGCCTTTTTGTAGTATGAGTATTCTACAGGGAATCTTACTATGTTCAATTTTTACTTGTTTTTGGAATGTCAGCTATTATTGTCTCTTGGTTTAATAAAAACAAAGTGTGATGATTCTTTTTAATTTGCTCGAATAGATATAAACAGTGATTACCTGGCCGAAAGATCTCTGGAAGAAGTATATTACCTCTGGTGTTTAGCTGGAGGTGACTTGGAGAAAGAGCTTGTTAACAAGGAAATCATTCGCTCCAAACCCCCTATCTGCACACTCCCCAAGTAAGGAAAGAAGATTTCTCTTGGAAATGAGCAGAATCTAGTAATAACATTAATATTAATAACATTTTAATAACATTGATGTTTCTAATTGCAATTTCTAGCAACATTTTTATTATTTTTGAATAATAGTGTTTTCATAATAATTTGTTTTATGATCTACTTGAAGTGAACTTGTTGCTATAAGGCATCTTACATAATTGTTATTCAATAAATGAAAACTGTAAAAGTCAGAGAAAAGTAACAAAGAAGTTAAGATCTAGGCGAGTATGTCTTTTTTTAAAATAATGATTTATTCTTTTAATTGTGATAATAATAGGCTACTATGTCTTTTATAAGAAACTATTTTCTGTGTTCAATTATATTTGTAAATGTAAATGTGCTCTGTGGCTCACTGCTTGTTTGTCCTAGCCATCAACAAGTGCTAAGTCACGGTTGAGAAAAATCAGAGCTGCTGAAGATCTTGGACATTGTCCTATAGTTAGACTGGAATTTAAGTAGTAATACATTCCCAAAGCCCAATGCCTTAAATTTTTAGTATTGGATTTTAGGAGTAGATTTGATCATTGTAGGTTATTGTATTTATAGTATGCTAGTTATTTTTTTTTTCCTCTTGTCAAATTTTTTGGTTAATCGTTTGAATATATCACTGTTCTGGTTTGTTTCCCCCTTCTTATCTGATTTTTGAATATTAACTTCAACTATTCCATTCATGCATTGAATTAAATAGAAAAACAGGAAATAAATAGAATTTCCCAGAATAAATGGTTTGAAGAATATATAAATTCTCAAAAATAATTCTCTGAAATTCTAAACAAACCAGATGCATTTAATAAATGTTTATTAATGTGCATATTAATGTATATATCAATATCAGTCATTATTTTTCCTAAGGTGCTACCATCATTATGAGTTTTCGCTTTCCTTTGATCATTTTTCACCCTTGAAAACGTTCTTACAAGTGCATTAATATAGCGTCAGGAGAGTAATTTTAGCTTTGAATCTCTGTATGAAAAAGGAATGTAAATCATACTCTTGTAATCCTAGTATGTATTGTATTGATACACTATATTCAGACCAACCAATGTATGTTTAAAAATGAGAGATGTTTGTAGAAATTTCAACCATTAGTTAATTTTTTTATTACCCTTTTCGGTTAAAAATCTCTTTCTTCAATGAAGGAATTGATGATTTAGAATATTTTTTTCTTTTTTGTACTTTTTATTCAACCAACATTGCAGTATAACATTATGTAAGTGTTATGTTTTCATCATTGAGAATTAGCATGTGTATCTACTACATTAAGGTCATCTCTAAACATTCAATGCTAAGAAATAATAAATCAGATTTTGTGTGTTAGGTAATATATTTTTAAATCTCTTTTCAGTTTTCTCTTTGAAGATGGTGAAAGCTTTGGACAAGGTCGTGATAGGAGCTCACTGTTAGATGACACCACCGTGACACTGTCATTATGCCAGCTACGAAATGTATGGAGAATGTTTGGGCACATTTCTATTAGATCATTTTTTTTTTAATAAGACCTTACACATATATATGAAGCCTCCCACATCTGGTAAAATATGTGAGCTTTTCTTTAAGATTTGTGCCAAAGAGTAGCATTGTTAGAAAACAACATCTGTTCATCGGCTCTTGTACATATTCTTGATCATTCATGAAGGTCGTTTTATCAGTTTGTCTTCTACCTTCACTGGACACATTTTTCTACATACTTGGTAACATGGTTTTATCAGTCTTATTGTTCTGGGCCTCCCTGGGTGGCACAAGGGGTTAAGATGCAACCCATGAAGCTATTCGCAACCACTGCAGTTTATGAGTTCAATCCCTGGACAGGGAGTTACCCACATGGTGCAGCAGACCTCTGCTGATTCACCTGCTGCTCACCTCAGCAGTGTATTTCAGTCAATCTGCCTGTTCTGCTCCCCACTCTGTCTCTGGTGAGTCCTCTCACCCCCACCCTCTGACCTCTGGCCTGTACCCCAGTCTTGTATGCATAAATAAATAAATCTTAAAAAAAAAAAGTTATTGTTCTGAACACTATAGGGTGATATTTTAATATAGTGATTTTTAATTGCCAGTTTTGAGTCTTTTTATATTTTTTACTCTATTTGCTTATGTGCATATTACTAGTTCCTATCTTTTGCCAGTATTTCTATCCAGTGATATCATATTGAATTGAGCATTTTTAAAAATGTATAATAGAAGTGAAGTTTTTGTTAATTATAGCTGATAGAAAATTCTTCAACTCTGTGGCTTTTCCTTTTTGTTTTCCCCCCTTTATAATAGTGACTTTTAATTAATAGTATTCTTAATTTCATCAGTGTTTTCCTTTAAAGTAAAATAGATTTTATCTGTTATATTTTGCTGATTGTAACTTATTTAAAGTTATGACAATGTTATGAAGATATTTATAACTATATTTGTAAGAGATTTAAAGCCTCTCCTCCTCCCCATTTAACCCATTGGACCACTTGGAATTTTTTTTCTTTCAAGAAGATGCAAGGTAGTTCTTCAATACAGTGCAATAATTCCTTGTCTTAGCATCCCTGACATCTTACTTTTCTTTTTGATTTAAAGTTCGTTAAGTTTAAGATAAAAATATTCATAAAATTTTATTGGAAATGTATTGAATTTGTAGGTTAATTTGTAGGGAAATGATACCTTTAACATGTGGAGTCCTGTTCCTTGAACATGTTGTATTTATGCCATTTTTTAAAGTCCTATTTTATATCACAATTTTTTTTTAATATCTGCATATCAGATTCTTAATATTTTTATTGTTCTTGTAAGTAGAATATGTATATATGTGTGTATGATTTTTCTTGCTGCAAAGTGAGTTTTGTTTGAAAGTTAATATAGCTATTTTAGTTCTCTTAATTGCTTTACCATAGTATCATTACCTGATGCCATCTTAGTGTAGTCTCCTTCATATAATTTAAACTATTTTATCAGGCTTCCCTGGTGACCTAGAGATTAAGTCTCAGCACCATCACTGCTATGGCCTGAGTTCAGTCCCTGGCCAGGGAGCTGACCCACATATGGCACAGCAGACCTCTCGTATCTCCCCTCGCTGCTCCCCTGAACAGTGTATTTCAGTAAATTTGGATGTTCTGCTCCCCACTCTGTCTCTGGTCAATCTTTTCACCACCATCCCCACCTCTGGCCTACACCCCAGCTCTTCTATGCAAATAAAATAAAATATGCTTTTGTTAAATTTTATAATAACTTTACTAATTCTGAATTGTGTATGGGAATATGGCATAATCAAAATATCATAATCTTGCATCAAACATTTACAGGAAACACCTGAAGGTAAAAAATGAAAAAAAAAACTCTTCTTCACAGATGATCACTAGAGGCATGGTATAATTACATGTTTATGATAGGATAAATTTTAGATTCCATTTTATACTTTTCTTGGTACCTTTATAAATTTATAGTTCATACATTATTTATTCTCTTAAATGCAGATCAGTGTGTTTGTCTCAGATCCTCAACCTTAATATTTTCTCTTCAAATTCACAGAGATTAAAAGATGTTGGTGGGGAAGCATTTTACCCACTGCTTGAAGATGAGTGAGTATCTTTCATACTTATTTTCCTTTTTTATTTCCAGGAAGCTTATATATTTTCTCTGAAAAGTGTTTGTTAAATAAAACACATAAATAGAATATTTGGGTTTTCTTAAATCTTGTATCTTTTGTCAATTTGTATTTGTTTCCCTTTTACAGCCAGGCTAACTTACCTCATTCAAACAGCAGTAATGAGCTGTCTGCAGCTGCAACTCTCCCTTTAATCATCCGGGAGAGGGACACAGAGTATCAACTAAACAGAATTGTTCTCTTTGACAGGCTACTCAAGGTAGGTAGGGTTCTATGGTATGAGGTGTTAGGAGAGCCTATATGCTATTCCTTATTTTTTTGTTTCACTGATAATTCTTAGGGCACCTTGATGTCATGAGAACAAAAATTCTTCTGACCTGTCTTTTCTGATTAACTCTAAAGATAATATATATATATATATTATCTCTATTAACTCTAAAGATAATATATATATTTTCATACTAAATAAAATTAAAAATAAAAAACAAAATATAAGAATCTATGCAAAACAACATTACACTAACAAAAATAGGAAAAAAGTGGGAAAACAGAAATGTGAAAAGAATATAATAGAAATACAACTAGTTAGTAAGTAATCTACTTAAAACATTATCTCCACTATAAATGAAAAAAATATATAGGCTTGTATTACATACTATTAGCAAGTGAGCAAAGGTATGATACTGAAATTCTCATCCTTTTAGAATAAAGTGACTGAAAGAGCTGTAAAAGAATTTGAAAGCATATGTCAGGAGCTATAGAAACAACCAAACCTTTTGTCCAAATAATTATGTTCTAGAAATTTCTCTTAAAGTGTAAGTTTATAAAAAGACAAATTTGTAAGCAAGGTTGTAGAAGTAGCCATAATAATTTACTGAATACTTTCTATATCACCAAGTAATTTGCAAAGAGCTTTACATACGTTATTTAACACATATGGGGCTTATATTCTCGCCATAGGACTCATTCATATTTCCCCTAGAGCACAAAAAGAGGAAAGATTAAAAACAATAGAATCAGTTCCTCTCTTTGATTGTATTATATAAGCTTTAGAGAAGAAAGGGAACTATTCCATTGCAAACTTATATGTATTAATAACATCAGACAGAGTAATTTCACATCCTTAGAAGAATATTACAGGTCACCTCCAACTTTTATCACTGATATATGTGGAACTAGCCAGACTGAAAGATAATACTTGGTAATTTGAGATATCTATTTTCATCTATAGGCTTACCCATATAAGAAAAATCAAATCTGGAAAGAAGCAAGGGTTGACATTCCTCCTCTTATGAGAGGTTTGACCTGGGCTGCTCTCCTGGGAGTGGAGGTAAGAAGGAAAAGAGGTGAGAAGCTGATTAAGAATGCTAAGAAAGAAGGAAAGTACTTTCCAAATAGTATTTTTAAACTATTAGTGAATCATGTCATGAAATATGAACATTAAGAATATTTAGCAATTTTAAGAGAAAAGAATAGAGGAAAAGGATAGATTAGTAAGAAAAGAAAATATAAATGAAAGTTAGATTTATGTTATTTAATATTTCATTTGATGGGGTTGACAGACATCCTGATTATCAATTTTAAAGTCAGTATTTTAAGAACATGTGCATTTAGGAAAAAGGTTGCCTATTGAGAGTTCTGAGTTTGGACAAACTTCATTCCAATTTGAATCTTGTTAGAAGTCATTAACATATTTTTGTGCCTTTTGGTACATATATTTTATCAAAATCATCATGGGCCAAGAGAAATAGCTACTTTTTCTTCTACAGCACTTTCTCGGTGGCAGTAAGGAAAGCAGAGGCATCTCAAATTTATTAGGGTGACTTGCAGTGCTAACAGAGAACTGGAGTGACAGCAGTCATGATAACAGGCCAAATCCTTACCAGGTTTTTCATTTCCTGTCAATTTCTGTGTCATCCTGCCCTCATATATTCTCCCATAGAATATTCTATGGCTATCATCACCCATTTCTTTCTTTCTTTCTTTCTTTTTTTTTTTTTTTGTGGGACCCTCGCCGGTGGCTGGGAAACGAACCGGCGCTGCAGAAGTTGCGGGCAGCCTTGCAGCCCAGCACTCAACCGCTGCGCCACCAGGGGAGGCCCTCATCACCCATTTCTGTGTGTGTAAATTCCCTCCACTATTTTTAGTCCTTTTCAATTCTCTCCTGAAAGAATTGTTTTTTTCCTACCTGATTAGCTTGATGAGAGTTTACAAAGTCTTTGTATTTTTGGTTACTTTATGAAACACCATAGAAATCTGTAAAACTGGGCCTACCAGAGGGGGAGGGCCGACAGTGGACTCTGGTGGAGGACTATGGGTGCCATGGTGGTGGGTGTATGTTAACATTCTCCTGAAGATGTGGGAGCTTATATTTCTGAATCAGATGCAGTGTTTTGAAAACCAGTACTACCTTAATAAGAATAAATAGCAATCAAAAACAATAATGCCTATTTTTCCATAGCACCCATTGCTAGTTAGAAGCATACAATGCTAGACTTCAAGACTATGTTGAGGTCAGGTTGTCCAAATCTCTCATTTAATTGCTGTGCCAGAAAAATTGAGATATGTGTAGTGGCAGACTTTGAACCACAAATTCCTGCCTCTTTCTCTGCCATTACAGTAAATAGGAATCAGTAATAGGAATACAGTACAGTAATACAATACAGTAATAGGAATACAGTACAGTTCAGTAATACAATACAGTAATAGGAATCATTTCATGCTGTTCCTATAGAACATGACCAAAACTTGAAATGACTTATCAATTATTTCTTCTGTAATAATATAACTGAAACATGTAAATGATTCCTTTAGCCCCTTAATGATTTCATAATTACAAGTTTCACTCTTGAATTTATCCTGAAATTCTGCCTCCTGGTGCTAAAGTACCTTTTACCAGTTTCATTTTATTTTTGCTTTCATTAATAACTTTAACATAAAAATTTCTCTTGAGATGCTCCTCCCTCCTCTAATCTCCCCTTTCTCCCCCCTTCCCCAGTTACTCAAAATTTCTCTATGAAACTTTTGAGACAACAATGAATAAAGAACAGTAAGTTATAGGAGGCTGGGATGTTAGCTGCTGTGACTCACCTGACACACTTGCCTTCTTGTGCATGGAATGCAAATGGCAGATAGTCACATATTTTCATCACAGATTGTTGGAGATAGGAGAATTTTTCCAGGGGGGTATATTTTGGTTTGATTGTGCCATTCTATAATTGGGTGTATTTTAAAAAATAGCTGTTTATAAGAAGTAGATTTTGCCTAACTTAATAAAAAATCTGATTTATTAATATATCTTCTCTTACATTTTTCAGGGTGCTATTCAGACCAAATATGATGCCATTGATAAAGATACTCCAATTCCTACAGATAGACAGGTATGATTTAGATTTTCTTAACCTAAGATAATTCTGCCAATCTTTAGATTGTAGAAAGGCTTGAGGAATTTTCTTCCCTTCATGCAGTGTGCGTGATCTCAGAATAAGCATGACTCTGATGCTCTGAAACTCATTCTCATTCCTTTCTCAAAGGAATCAAAGTCAAGGAACTTTTCCTAATAATTGTACTTTTTTATCTGAAGAGTTTGCCTGTCATTTAGACTGGGCTGTGAAGGAAGATTTTTTTGAAAACTATACCAATATAGACACTTTCAAAATTTATCTTCCCACAACTTTTTTTGTATTTCCAAAAGATTAATAAAAAAATCTAAAAACTTCGGACACTAGGATTATGTAAGTGGTGTATTCTGAAATTCAAAATACCACCAGTCCTTTTTCTAATCATGGGGTTTTATTGGTAATCACTCACATATAGTTTTATCGTTTCACAGATAGAAGTGGATATTCCACGGTGCCATCAGTATGATGAGCTGTTATCCTCTCCTGAAGGCCACGCCAAGTTTCGGAGGGTGTTAAAAGCCTGGGTAGTGTCCCATCCCGATCTTGTGTATTGGCAAGGTGACCTTTCTCCAAATTCTTTTTTAAAGTATTATGAGCGTGTTGTATGACTCACAGCTATTAAAAAAAAAAAACAAAATATCAAAACATCCTTAGCTTTGTAAAAAATCAATTCTAAAGTTATAATCCATTTTTTAAAGATTTATTTGCAAATTTTTTAATGTCTAAATGCCTAGTGGATATCATTTAACTGCTTGATATTTAATGAAACAACTTGCTATCATGTTGAATTGGAAAAGTAGGAAGAATATTTTATACTATTTTAACCTTTTAGATCAATATATTCAATGCTTATGCAAATAGCAAAATAATATTATACCATAAATAAATCCTTATGGATCAGTTTTTTAAATACTTATGCAAACAGCAAACTAATTTTATACCATAAAAAATGTTGCACTTCATGTTCTTCAAACTTAATGATTTACAACTTAGGGTAATAAGAATTGAGGGATAGGTTAGTCCTTAAACTGCTCGTTTTATCCTTTATTTCTTAAAGAAATTTTTTCAATATTATATTTCTTGATTTTTTTTAGCTTTTCTTATTATTTCGGTAGTTACTGATAAATTCATAAATATAAAACCCATTCCACTCATTCCTGGTTTTGAATTTATTATAAACAATAGGTTTTAAGATTTTAATTTTTTGTCCATTTCTCATCAGACTTAAAATGAAGCTAATATTATTACTTTTTCATTTAACCTTTTTCCAATTTGGAGTTCTAAATTTTCTTAACAATCATGGGTAGACTTGTGTACATTCTTTCCACATGACTACATATGAACAGCATTACTGTTAATAAAGCGGGGTCATACATTTGTGTTTTACTTCACACTTTTTAAAGGACTTTTTTCATCATCCCAGAGGAACATGTAAGACCAATCTAGATGAGAAAACACACCTGGACATGCTAAGTGGTTGCCAAGATCACACACTCAGAATTAGTGATGGGATAATATCATAAGCATTCTATCATCTTTGCATTTTTCTATTACTTTATTTCTCTGAATTCATAATAATATTGTTATTCCAAATTATTATATGATAATAGCTGATTTGTTTGGGGCATTTATTATATGCCAGCATTATCAATTCCTCCTCACAATAACCAATGAGGCAATAATATATTTCTGTATGGGTAGCACAGTAATACTTAGAGTGCTTAATCTACAAGAATGATCAGAACTGAGTAAGGTGTATATCTGCAAGTTGACTGCATTGTGCTTATTTGAATTCTTTCCCCCAACTTTCCCCACCAGGTCTTGACTCACTTTGTGCTCCATTCCTATATTTAAATTTCAATAACGAAGGTAAGCCTATTTTTCATTTAAATAGTCATTGTGCATATTGTTCTGAAATATTTTATTTAAAAACTAAAGGTTTTTATTGTAAAGTTCTTGCTGTTTGTCAATTTCCAGAATTTCATTTGTAATCAAGCAGTACCTAGAGATTGGAGAGAATCTGACTGACTATTCTAAATGCTACTTTGGTGACTATCTTCATGAAACTTTGGAGAAAATTCTTGCTTCTTTAGAGATTAGTGTTAATCACTATCTATTTTCTAAATAATTTTGTAGAGAAATCAGTTTTGATATTATATCTCCAAAGTCTATCATTTCCACCAGTAGCTTCTTAATGAAGACTTTTCTTATTTTCCCTCCAGGACCCATACAGCACTTGCATGCTCAGAAATGTATCTTATGTTGTTTCATATTCTAGTCATTTATTTACTAATAGTTAACCCTGTTTTGGGTTGCCATAGTTTTTTTGTTTCTTTGCTATCTGCCTATTATAATGGCCTTTTAAATAGTAGGTTTTCCGTAAATATTTGTTTGACTTAGTTAAGTTGGATCCCTAGTATCACTTGTAGAAAATATTGCATGAGTCTCTAGAAGCCTCCTTCTTTGAATCTCAGTCTTCTCAAATTCTACCCCCTTTGTGTCAGAATTTGCTTAGTTTTGTGGAATTGAGTAGAGATAGCATAATCCCAAGTTTCACTGCTTGAACAGTTTTTAAAATGCACTGTCCTCTGATAATCATTATTCATTATTCTAGACCTGAAGTTTTGCTTTTTTGGGGTAGATGTAGTCCATTATCACACATATTGATCTATGAATGGTAAGGAATCTATGTTTGAAATGACAGTTCAAAACTAGTGCTTGTAAATCCTAAATCCCCACCTTTTTTTGTTTGCATTGGCAAAAGTTACAGATTTTGAGATTTCTGTAGCTCAGTAACGATAATACTTTGATAATGCTTTCAATGCCTGATAGAGCTTTGAAATAGTATAAAAGCTTAGGTAATAATGGATTTGTTATTGTGGGATCATGACTACCATGGTAATTGAAAATGAAAAGTTACTAGGATGGCTAAATTGTCCAAAATATTTTCTGTTTTTAAGGGCAGAGGATTTCCCCTGTTCCATTGGTGTTTCTAACAGTTGTGAACATAACTCTTGTGTATCATAGACTAAAGAAGTGCTGAGTGAATGCTGCTGTAGCTAGGCCACATTGACTAATTTGGCATATGCCTTTGCATTACTCTTTTTTAGCCCTGGCTTATGCATGTATGTCTGCCTTTATCCCCAAATACCTGTATAACTTTTTCTTGAAAGACAACTCGCATGTAATACAAGGTAAGCAAATGTATTTCTTTGTCTTTTTACAAAGAAAGTACTTATGTCAAATTACTCAATACTCAATTAGCTGTACCTAAAGAAATATGAGGATATTTGGAGAATCCTCAAAAAAGTAATTAAATACAACTTCTAAATTGGTCATAATATTTACTGGCTGTCTGGTTGGTGCCTGGCTATCTGGCCAGCTCTCTGGGCTCTACTGGAAAGCTTCTATCACATTGATTTCTATTTGTGGCTGCACTGGCTCCTTTTTGAAGATGTATAAGTGGTTTACCACTAATGAATTTCAGTTTTATGGTAACTGTTTGATATCACAGCTGGATATATGTATATATTAATAATGACCTCCCAACTTGAAATGTTGAACTTTAATACTTTTTAACTATAAACTTCTTTAATACATTTTTAGGAAATTTATTATACTGATAAATAAGACAAGATCTTGTTTCATTTATGAAAATACTAAAGAAACTGTAGTGTACATAACATGACTTCAGAGAAACTAGCCAGAAACACCCAAAAGACTTTTACTTAGTTTGATTGATTAATATTATTATGTAAAATGTTACATCTACACTGTTCCAGGAAACAATACGCAAGGTGTTTTAAATCATTTGTTCAATTTTTACACTGATTATACACATTATAAAAGGCATACTTTCAGTTATTCTTCTTTCAGGAAGTAATTGTTCAACTCTGACCCTGTGTGAGGCACTGCTTAAACAACTGGGGTTCTTAAGGTAATCAACTGGCAGTCCTTTTCCAAGGAATTTCATAGCCCAATGTAGGAGATAAATGTAGAAATAACAAATTATAAGTCAATGAAATAGGCATACCTAGTACTATATTATATTAACATAGAAGAAGAAGTAGGAAGAGGTTATTTTGATTTCTTTAACTTTCGGTGACAAAGGCAAGATATGGCATGTCTAGAAAGATTTCCTAAAAAAGGGGCTAGTTATTGATGAATTTTAACCATTAGCAGGAATTTGCTTAGGGAAAGAAGAGAAAGACATTCTTCAGAAAACAGCAGGGAGAGAACTGCAATAAAAATGTACAAAATTGGATTTTGAGACAGCTGAGGTCAAATCTGGTGCTTGGAGTCAGAGAGAGCGGGGGATGAGGGGCTCAGGCAGGACTGAACCTGCCTGGTTGTTGGTTACTAAAGTTTATGGAAGAGCAGTAGCATGCTTGCATTCAAAGTGGATTTTTAGACTTAGAAATAGCTATCATTTTATTGGTTCCCCTCTTTGTTTCTACTCCCCTCTACCTTTGTCTTACCAGTAATGATGGTTTTGATTGACTTAAATGTCACATGCATACTTTTTCCTCACAGGTTTTGGAAAAATTCTGTATTGTATATAAGGTCAATTCAGCAGCTTGTTGTAGAATTACATAATCATTTTGTCCTTTAATTGTCTCTGTGGAAATCCAGATTTTTGTATTCTATAGCAACTTTAAATGTTCTTTGGGGTAAAAATCTTGTTTTAATTATACCCTAATAGAACTTGAATTTTTATCTAAGAACTTTCCATAAGAACAGTATTTAGATACTCATAAATGCTAAATGCTTTGCCTCTTACAGATGAGCAAAATATGATCTGTTTAGTCAGGATTTTTTTTTTAATCCAAGGTCTTCTAACCTGTTACTCATAGAAGTTTTTAAGAAGAGTACTTCTTGCATAAATAAATAAATATTAACATTTTTGTCACTCAAATTATCCTGGTAACATTGTCATTGAGTTGATAAAGTACCAACACTTATTAAAAGTGCCAGCAATTATTAAAAAATAATAAACTGATTATGTAACTCATCTTTGGCCCTCTCCATTATCCAAGATTGTTACCGTCAGGTCAGCTTGTTTGCCCCCAACACACAGCAACAAACACTGAACACCAAGTGTTTCAAACAGGGAGAAAGGTTTGTTACCAGGATGGCTCCACATAAGATGATGGGAGCCCAAACTCAAATCCACTACCCTGAAGAAGGGAACTTAGAGCTTTTATTGGAAAGACACATGCTAAGGTCTGGGAAAGGAATGTTAGTTATTTAGAGGAGTCATGTAAAATCAGCAAGGAGTATCCGAAATATTGGAAAGCAGGCTTATAGCTTGCAGCAAAGGCAGACTTTGGGCTGTTGAAGGAAAAAGCTGCTGTGTAGTTATTAAGGATGGAAACTAATCCTTGGTAGAAAAATCAACTATACCTTAGTGTCATTTTACACTTAAGAAATGAGCAGCCCAGAAAGCCAGCCTGTAAAACTTTTATACTGGTCTTTGAAGTTATTCTATTGTGTATCACTCACTGAAACGACCATGGGAATTTGGGCAAAACATTAAACTTAACACCCAGGCAGATTCCTATTTGGGCCATTGGAGGATGTGGTCTTTACAAATCAGAAAAAGGAGGGGAAATAATCTACAAATCTGGGAAATAAGAGTGGGTAAAAGTTTCCTCAGTTTTCTGTTTCCCTGTTTAAGTTTCTAAAACCTCTGAGGACAGTGTTATCTTCATCACTGTGAAGTCCCAAACATTTAAAATAGTGACACTTGCAGTTAGGATGGCAAAATAACTGAATTGTGATGCTCTTGAGAGTTAAAAGCCCCAGTCACTGAGTCTAGAGGTAGCAACTGGGGCTCTCCCAAGTGAAATAGGAACCTGGGATATGTGGTCACACTACACACAGACATTCAGTAGGTCTTGAAGGAGAGGGAGGAAGACAGATGTGAGAGTCTTAAGAGCAGTTGTCAAAATGAAGTATAACATACACCTGTTTTCTCAACAAACAGTAACAGAGAGGGAGGAGACACAGCTTCGCTCCAGGCTTACAATCTACCAGTGCAGTGCACATCTAAGGCACGTCAGTGACATGAATGACTTTTCTGATGGGCTGTTGGGAGACAGTAGGAAATATATTGAGTGTGTTTCTTCAAGAATTTCTTGCATCATCTGAGTAAGGAGATTTTTCTGAAACAGAAAAAGTTCTGTATTTACTAGAAATAATATGAGAACTATTTGGTGAGTCTGCATGTACATTTGTTACCAGAGCAGGGTATGTGAGCAAAAAAAGGAAATGACTCACAAGTATAGTCCTAAAAATTACATTTCTCTTTTCATTTGGACATAAAAATTTGTGCTTGTTCTTGTGTCTTTAGTCAGTAAGCCAAATTTTGCAGCTGGAGAGCTTTGTAGTGGGAAATAAGCTAATTTGGGTTCATATGCAGTAAAATAACCTTGACTTATTTTGAGTGCTGTGAGTCAAAATGTCACCAAATGGTTTAGTTTGGACATATTTTTGTTGACAAGAGATTTATGACCCTGCATTTTTATCTATACTTATCATCTTCAGGATAAACTAGCAGCCTGATGGAAAACAGCAAGTAGCTGCAGAACTGAGAATGCCACTTTTGATTTGTGAGCAGAAGAAACCTTCTGCTTAAGCCTGTCCCTCATCTTTATCTCCTCTTTCCTCCAAGCTCAGACAGTGAAAAAAGAGCTGCTCAGGACAGAAAAAATAAGAACAGCCATGTATGCAAATTTCATGAATTTTTTTTTTAAAAAAACAAGCACACGACATACTTATTTTTTAAAAAACTACACAAAAAGTATCATAGTGTCATATAGGATCCTTACACTGAATTTTGGTGAGATTGTCCTTTAAAAGTATGTAGTATAAATATATGTATGTAGTACAAATAATATAATAAATATAAATATTTAAATATAAATTATAAATATTTATAATAAGTATAAATAAATAATAAAAAATATAAAGTATGTAGTATAAATAAAGGACGGCAGTAAGAATTTTTAACATAGAGGAATTAGAACAGGAAAGGCGATTTCTTTTTCATTTTATATTTCATTGCAAAAAATTAAAAGCTACAAAATTTCATTAAAATACAAAAAATATATATTAGACGTGGTTTCATTCAGTATTGCTGCATTAAACTTTACTGGGGGGCTAAAGGAAGATTTCACAACTACCTTGATAACTTTTTTAAAAGAATTTGAAAATACTATTTGGAGGCTATTTTATGGCTCTGGATGCATGTATTCATTCATTATTATAAATCCCCAAGCGTGAATGTTTTCAAAGAGTTAGTAGTAATACCCATAGAATTCTTTCTTTTTTTAAAAAAAATTATTTATGGATACAAGAGCTGGGGTACAGGCCAGAGATGCGAGGGGTGAGAGGATTCATCACAGACAGAGTGGGGAATAGAACAGGCAGATCACCTGAAGTACACTGCTGAGGGGAGCAGCAGGCGAGACAGGAGAGGTCTGCTGCACCATGTGGGTTGCTCCCTGCTTCATAGTGCGGTTGCTTCACCCCTTGTGCCACCAAGGAGGCCCTTTATTTTATTTTGACTGCAGGCCTTTTTTTCTGTACTACCTTTAAGTTTTCTCAGGTTGGTTTACAAATCAAAGGATATGTGCATTTCATTTTTTAAACTTTAGGCAACTTAAAAAATGCATTTTTGAAATATAACACGGTGCTGACTTTATCAGCTGTACCATATCCTCCTTCACAGAAATGTTTCTGAATGTGACAGTCCATACTATATCTCAATCTAAAGCCTATCCTGAGTAACCCCATATATGCCAGCTTTCTGGTTTATATTTCCATATACAACATAGTATATAATAACATAAGACAAATGAACACATGTGTTTGTGTCATATATAATGCACATGCACATATATGACACAGTTAAAACAGGTGTCATATATCATACAAATCCTAGCCCTCGGTAATTGGCAGAACACAAGGAAAATGTTTGCGTGATAGATTAGCTTTCTTCAGTAGACCCTTAATTAGCCATGTAATCCCACATAGTAATTATCTTTTATCAGCCTTGAATAAGAATGATATTTAATAAACTGGAGCAACTATGGAGAGTTGCCTGAGGCATAATTTCCTGGTTGAATATGAAGCATGCTTTTTAAAAGTTAGTAACTGCATGCTTTCATCAACACACAGTTGAATGCTTGTGATTGTTGATGTTCCATACCTCTGGCTTCTGGGTAAATGAGGACTATAAACATAACATCCCTAATTGGAAAGAGAAAGAAAACATCAAGACAAGTCAAACCCGGAAGTCTCTGGGGCCTTGGAATCTGTCCTGGATCTTTAATCTATAATTCTTGAAGCTGATGTGCACTGTTCCCTCCTTGTTCTTTGAGGAAAAGCTGAAGCAATGGACAGACAGAATAAATTCTTTTCCAATAAAATAAACATCAAATTAAAGAAAAATGTTAAATACCCACTCTCTAGCTAGCAGCCTTGGCTAAAATTTCACATAAGACCCATAATTTAGCTTTTTCATGGTATTGAGTACAGTACCTCCTCATCTTTGTTTTTGGCCTTGATGTTCCTATTTATAAAGTGTGTGGTAATTATATAGTGTGGTCATTAGAAACCAAGTGTACATTGGGGATATGGGAGAGTGCTACAGATAATATCAGATTGTCAAGGATTGACTACCATGTCTTGAAATGTTAAAAATTAAGAACTTTAAAAACTAAAAAAAAAGGCAGAGATTATTTTTAGAGGTTATTTTCACCAAATAATTGGCTTGAAAAACAGATGTTACTTTATTAAAAGAAAGAGTTGAGGTTATTAATTAAGAGAAACTGTCACTGAATTACCATTTCAATCTCAAAAAGAAAAATCTTGAGCTCTTGGAAATATGTGTTAATTTTGTTTTTAATTAGAAAAATTTGATGGTTATTTGCTTTTGAGTCAGTTGTTGCCAGTATCTTCTTTATATTAATACATAGTAAGTAGATTGACAAGATTAGTAATTTGTTGAAAGAATGGGAAAACTAAGGAAATGATGCTTATATTTGTGCTGAACCTATGAATTAGAGTAGGAATAAAACCAACAGCAGACATTGTAATTGCCTGTTATGTACCTGTTTTCTGATTAACATGATGCAAATTTGTATTCCTGAATATGCCAAATGCAGTCTTAGCTGGAAATGAATCAGAACAGGAACATGTGCCTATATCTGAATATGTAGACAAATTGAGGCATAGCTATTCTATTCTGACTGCTTATATAGTGGTGTTCCTTATTTAAGTATCTGTAACATTTTGAACACAGTATAAATGTGAGACATTCAAGCTCACTAGAGAAGATGTACTCATTAGTATTTGTTTAAAAGGAAAACATCATTCATTGTGTATAATTGTGATTCAAGAAACGAACTGGTAGCTCTGAAGTCAGGAAATGAGTCATGGTGCTACTTCCTAGTAAGCTTGGTGTATTTTCTTCATGGAGAAATTAAATCTGTTGCTAGGTATAGACAAAAGGAACTTGTGTGAATGTGATGTCTTGAAGGTGCTATAGTGAAAATGATGATTGATTGTCATTTCAGAGTATCTGACTGTGTTCTCTCAGATGATTGCCTTCCATGACCCGGAGCTGAGCAACCATCTCAATGAGATTGGATTTATTCCAGATGTAAGTACTTGGTGCAGTAATAGAAAATGAGGTCCAAAAAAAAAAAAGCAGAAATTGGCAATACGGAATGCTGTTTTCAAAGTTTCGTTGTCATAGAAATCTATATCTGGACAAGTTCCTCCTACCAGTTGTAGCCCTCAGTCACTGCCCATAGTCTCACTTTAAGTGATGGGGTATAGCTTAGAGTCTCCGGCCTGTTGAAGAAGTAGAAAATTTGAACTAAATGAATACTTACAGGGCTTCTCCTGAGTTTTGTTTGATACATTACCTTGGACTTTGCAGACCTTGCCTTCCTTCATTAGCTCTCAGTGGTCCACATCCAGCTCAAAGTCAGAGGTCACTCTCACAGGTTAGCCACGTGTGGCTTAGCCTGCATCTCATCCATGATGCGTGACATGGAGACAAGCCTCTTTTAAAAGGGACTTGGCATATGGCATCATAAGGTTTTTGAAAACCTAAAAAAAATTCTTTTTGAGGTAATAATTCTTCCCTTTAACCTTTGTTTCCTGATCATGCCTTTCCTCTAGAGACTTATTTGTAGAGACCAGTATATTAGTGGTCCAGATCGGGGTGAAAATGTTCACATTAACACTCAATTAGTGCATTTAAATTACTAGCAGTAACTCTTACAAGTACTTGAAGTGTGCTTTGAAGTTAAAAATATATTCGTAAACATTATTTCATTTCACTCTCAAAGCAAATATGTAATGTGTATGAAGCAGATAATTTCAACACTTAATAGATAAGAAATTTAGTGCTTGGGAGATAACACTAACATCATATGACAGTTGTTTGCTCCTAACTGGTTCATCTTCTGCTGGGAGAATAGAGACTAAAATGTGGGTGCAGTTCCTCCCCAGTTCGTTGCCCTATAGGCTGTGATCAGGCCTGTAGCCACCATCCTTAACAAGTACCATGTCATCTGCTTCAAGCTTATCCGAGTCCCTGGCTTATTCAATGAGGGCTCCAAAGAGAACATATACAGACTACAACACTAAATGTAATAAAATAACTAGCCTTGACAAACCTTGTAAAAAATAAACCAGTATACATATCATCATATAACTATTTGTTTTTATATAATCTTTCCTATGTCATATTATAAATTTGAAGTATAATATAGAATAATACTCAGTTCAAGCTTATGACTAGAGTTGAAGAAACTAGGGAGGAACTGCTGAGTCCAAATTGATAATTGTGTGAGATTTTTGAGAACAAAAAATATTAATGCCAAGATATAGACTAAATGGAGGAATAATTATTTTCAGAAAATTGTCTTGAAAGCCCCAATTGTACTTATTGCCAAAGAGAAAACTTACATGAGTTCCATCAATGTGAGCTTGACAGAAAACATATATTGGAAAGTATGTATGGGATTATCTAGATAGTCTATTAAATCCTTAGTCATGTTCATGAATATAGATGGTAGTGAGAAAGGAATCACAAGAGGAAAAATAATTTATCTTTGCCTTAGTTAATCAGTAAAATTGAACCCTGTATGAGTATGGTGTCAGAAGCAGTGGTGAGCAAAATCACTTTGTGAAAACATAATACTGTGACCACACATCAGGTGTTTACTGTGTGGCAAGCACTATTCACCCTCTTTAGGTAAGCCAGCTAATCCTCACTAGTTTATAAATCTAATTAAACAATGTCTACCCCATATTTATATATAGTTAATTTGGAAAAGGCTAATAGCAAGATGTATTTCAAATACAATTTGAAATAACAATTACATGAAATGTAAGAGTAGGTGAAAACTCAGATAAATATGTCCAAATGTCACTGCATTCTTGAAGGGAAAGATAAATATGCTCATTATATATAGATACCAAGTCAGGGTTCCTTCGGATCAGGGATTTGATTTGACCCTATTTAATAGCTAATACATGAGCCTGTTCCTCTTGAACAGCTGAAAACGTGAGGCTCCTGGGTCAGAGACACAGGCTTACTCACAGCACAGCAATAGTGTGGATATGAGTATATGTGTGCTGGTTTCCCTTAGCCCCCTGCCCAAGTACCCAGTTTATACCTCCATATGCCATGGGCTGCATTATAGAAGAGGAACCCTGAATTTGGGGAACTTGAATTTTTTTTTTTTTTTTTTAATGGACAATAAGCCTGCCTTTCCTTTGTTCTGGAGAGAAAGAGAAACACTGTCTTATTTCTGCCAAGGCTAAAGATAAAACTGTCCTTTGCTGGAAAGGGAGAGTTTATCTCTATTTTCCAAGGCTTTTTTTTTTATTAATATTAAAAGATAATCTAGAACCAAGGGCAGTCAGTATCTATGTTCAGAAAAAAATGCAAAAGTGCAAGAATACATAAATTTTAATGGTAATCGTGAAAAGAAGAAAAATAAAACGTGTAACGTTTGAATCACTAGAAAGGGTAGAAAAGGGGCCTCCCTGGTGGTGCAGTAGGTTGATCCCAGTGCCGTGAAGCTGTCTGCAGTGCAGGTTCAATTCCTGACCGCCCAGGGAGATTCCCACATAGCGTGGCAGACCTCTCTTGTCTTGCCCGCTGCTCACCTTAGCAATGTATTTCAGTCGTCTGCCTGTTCTGCTCCCCACTCTGTCTCTGGTGAATCCTCTCACCCTCCCACGCCTCTGACCTGTACCCCAGCTCTTGTATAAAAAGTAAATAAATCTGGGCCTCCTCTGATGATGCAGGCAGTTGAGCGCAGCGCCGTGAAGCTGTACGCGGTCTCTGCAGTGTGGGTTCGATCCCGGCTGGCCAGCGAGAATCCCACAAGGTGCAGCAAACCTCTCCTGTCGTGCCCACTGCTCCTCTCAGCTGTGCCTTAGGTCATTCCGCATGTTCTGTTCCCTGCTCTGTCTCTGGTGAATCCTCTCACCCTCCCATGCATCTGGCCTGTACCCCGGTTCTTGTATGCATGAATAAATAAGTCTTTAAAAATAAATAAATAGATAGATAAATAAATAAATCTTAAAAATTAATTAAAAAAAAAGAAAGGGTAGAAAAATTCAACCAATCTTGTAAAACCTGAAAGAACACATAAAGAATGTAGGCTAATTAGATTGCCTAATAAAGAGAAATTTCAGTTATTTAAAAAATCAATCTATATGCTACTTATAGAAGATAATTTAAAGATACTAGTCAAAAGAAGATAATCAAACATGGCAGGCAAATGTTTCCAAAAGGAAATTAATGCAGTGATACTAATGTAAGCTGTAAAACAGAAAACACACAACAGACCCACCCACCTATGGACACCACACTTAATGTGGTGTCTGACAGAGATGACTCTGAAGTCCATTAGAAAGATTATTGAGGGCCTCCCTGGTGGCGCAGGCAATTGAGTGCAGCGCTATGAAACTGTCTGCAGCCTCTGCAGCATGGGTTTGATCCCGGCCAGCTGGGGAGATACCTACACGGTGTGGCAGACCTCTCCTGTCTTGCCTGCTGCTTCCCTCAGCAGTGTATTTCAGTCAGTCTGCCTGTTCTATTCCCCACTCTGTCTCTAGTGAATCCTCTCACCCTCCCATGCATCTGGCCTGTACCCCGGTTCTTGTGTCCTGATACAGTTGGGTAAATACATGAAGGGAGGTGGGAATCAAAGGCTAACCCCACACCATACATAAAAGAACAAAATTTAAGACCTAAATATGAAATGTTATGTTTATAATTTTTATTAAGAAGGAATTGCTACAGAATGTATAGAGTACAAGATCTAAATTTAAAAAAAGAATCATAATCGAGTGATACAAAGGACCTTCCATTCTTTTGTTAATATATGAATTTGATGTAAAATTTTTTCAAAGCAGTTATGGCAAAAGGTGTGTTCAGTCTGGGTGGACAGTACATTGGCCTTGGTTGCATGTGCTGCTACGTGGGGTGAGTTAATTTTCAACAATTTTGAAATCATATTTTCCATTCATGCTTCCCTCTCCATATGATCCCCTCACATAGTTACTGGGGTATTTTTGTATAACTTTTTGTGGGAACCTCAATACCAATATTATTATAAGGGTGGTATTAATGTATGTGGGGTGTGGCTCATCTGGTGCGACATTCATGTGGAAAAGGGGTCAGTTCCAGATGGGGTGACAGCGTTTAGCACATGGCAAATGCTGAGCATCCTCAGCCTGGCCACTGGTAACCCGTGAAGGTCCCTTCATCACTGTGACAACAAAGCGCTTACAAGTGTTTCTGAACAGGGACTATGCGTGCATGTCCAAGCACTCGAGGGCACCGTTCCGTCACCATTGAGAATGCTAGTGTGAACAAAGAAACTGAGGGCACTGAGCATACATCCTCCCCTGAAGAAAATTCCTGTCTAACCTCTTGTCAGAGGGAATGGGCAAAATGAAAGGAACATTAAAAAGAAAGTTAAACTGTTAATAGAAAAATTGTTTTTGAAGTGCTGTGATCTGCTTGTTTGTTATTTTTCTTTTGTTGGCCTGCTTAAGTCTGTGCAGAATATGAAAATCCCAAGGCTATTACTATTAAATTTAAGTTTGCAAACAGATTTGATGTTTTTAATGTTGAAATTGTTGACAATGAATAGTAGCGAGAGGGATGTGATGAAAATGCAGCATTTTTCTTGTTCTATTAATAATCACATATTTTTGTTGCATTTCATTTGTGTGTGCAGAGCATTCTTTTTTCCTCCTCGAATTATTGTCTTCCAACTTCTATCTTTAAAATATTCATTTAGGTGACTTACTGTGGTTCTAACAGTGCAGGCTAGGACTCTGCCAGGGGCGGGCCGTCACTTTCACAATGAAATCCCAAGCTGGGTTTCCTGTCCAGTAACTAATCCTATCACCGCCATCCCTGGTTAATCTCCCGTCACCATCTCGCACAGGCTCCCACTGCAGGAAGATTGACTCCTGGCTCCTTTCCATTTGCTGAGGGTCACAGAACTCTGCATCCTGAGTGATGCTGCAGCCTGAATCATTAGGCGTTGTGTGCACTGATGTGATGCTTCGATTATAGATGTCACGGCAGTTATGTGATTTACATATAAATAGGTTGAG